ATGTCTGGCACATCCCCAGGGCACACAACTGGGCTTCACGCCTTATGGGTCCACCCCTTCCTGACCTCTCCAAGTTCCCAGACACCGATTGAACACCGACCAGGCAGTGAGGTCCCTGACCCGGAAGAGGCCTTGCATTGGTCAGCCCCAGCTCCCCAGTGCCTGGGGAAATCACTGCATGGTTATCCATATGATGCAGCCCCTAGCTGTCCAGCTCTGCCTTCCCGGACCCCTTTGCCCTGGTCACTTCCTGTCATCACCACTGGCCCTGTGATGTCTTAGGATTTCCCATGGCATGGTTCCCATGTTCCCCTCCTCCTCCAGCCTGTCCTTACTGACTTCCCTCTGCCTTTACTGACCCTATGTCTTCAAAACAGCTGGTTCTGGGTCAAGGACCCTCCTCCAGCCCCTGAGCTTCTCCTGGTTTACAAAGGGTCCCGCTGTGAGGGGCAACAAGATAAACCAAATCCTCAGCCTACAACAGAGGGCAAGACCCAGCCACCGGCCTCCTGGGACCCTTAATTCCACCTGGGGGTCAGATGGGGGTTGCTCCTGGACACAGAGTCCCATCCCCCAGGGCCACTGGACAAGTTCCAGGCCAGCTGCAAGGTTTCTGCGGGTACAGGCCGGTCCCGGAGGATTTATTTTTGCAGACTGTCTGAGAGATTCTCTGTTGCTGGAATAACTCGAACCTTTTTCTCTCTCTCTCTCTCTCTCTCATTCTCCCTCTAATAGGCAGATTTTATAAACCAGAGCAGCTGCCTGAAGGTTTCCAAGAAAAAAATCTGCACAGTTTCTAACCAGGGTGACAGTTCCTCTCCACAGGAAGTTGCTTTTATTAATTTTTTAAATCTCTCTCTCTGTCTGTAAGGCTCCATCTATTGGCCATCGGGCAGCACCCTGGACATTGGGGCATGTTCTGTTTTTTTCCCACTTTGCCCGGAAGTCATGGTTGTACCTAAACGACAGTGCATTTGTCTAGCACAAAGGTCAGATGGCTAAAAAGTGGGTTGTTCACAGAAACCCAGGTAATTTATGGAGCGAGATCTCGCTCGAGGAGGCAGCACATAATTCCCAACGCTTCCAGTGCACACTGGGACTTCCTTCCAAGACGTACAGTAGGGGGAAAGAGGACAGGGAGGAATCCTGCAGCAAGGACTCCGGCCAGACGCCGCCTCGGCTAGATGACCAAGTTCAGTGGTCGCAGGGATAAGTCGAGCCCACAGCTCTGCCATCACACCACGTGATGGGGGCAGCATCTCACCTCCGTGGTCTCCCTCCAAACACCTGAAAGGCCCCCTGGTGCGTGCAGCGGCTGGTGGTGGGGAGGAGACAAGCCCCAGCATGGAGGCTTGCTAGGAAATACCTGATCAGCACCCCATACAAAGCTAGGCAGTTCTGAGACACTTAGCACAGCCAAGAGGAGCAGGCGCATGGCGTCCTGGGAACAGTAAGGGTACGTGCGTGTGGTCAATACACAGCGGCAGAGTTAACAGCGGTGTGCCAGCGCTGGGCCCCTCGTGCTGAGAAAGCACAATGGCATCGCCGTCCCCACCGGGGCTGTGGCAGCCCTGTGCTGGGTAAAACTAAAGTCATTTCAAAACAACGATGCTATTGTTATTTTTTTTTAAGGTTTACTTGTTTATGTTTGTGAAAAGCAGAGTAACCAAAGAGCTTCTGTCTGCTTGTTCACAACCTCAGATGTCGGTGACAGCCGAGGCTGGGCCAGGCAAGCCTAGTAGCTCACAGTTCCATCTGGGTCTTCCACGGCAGCAACCAGCAGGAGCCCAAGGGCCTTGGGCCATCTTCCTCTGCCTTCCCAGGCACATTAGCAGGAAGCTGAGCAGGAAGAAGAGGCAGCCGGCACTCCACCTGGTGCCTCAGCCTGGGATGTGGATGTCGCAAGAAGCAGCTTAACTCGCTATGAAACATGGGCCCTCAAAATTCACCATCCTACTCACCATCGATCCCCATTAGCCCAGCACAGCACCAAGCACAGGGAAGGTGCCAATCAATCTTTGTCGAATGTGCATTCAAGGGGGACTTCTGTAAGGCGGTGACCCAAGGCGAAAGCCAAGATGTTCCCTTCCCCAGCAGCAAGTGGGCCAGCCTGGTTAGAAGGGAACAGGCGATGTCTCCTGGTCCTGCCTGTGGGAACAAGCACACGCCTTCACTCCAAGTTACACAACTGTTCTGGAGAGGTTTTGGAGACTGATGGAGATCCTGAGGAGCAGGCTGACTCCCCCAGCCCCTCCCACCTCCTGGCTCAAACCCCTACCTTCGCACTGCCCCAGAGCAGGTGCAGGGAAGCCTCGAGCAGCAGGAAGTGCTTGCTGAGTCCTGCAGGGCCATCACCTGGCACACACCAGGCACTTCCTGTCCACCCCTCGTGCCAACTACCAGGCCCTGCACTGGGGAGGAGGAAGCATCACTATGCCCATTCTATAGGCAACAAACTGAGGCCCCGGGTAGCTGTGCCTGACGTCACAAAAGTGCAGGAGGGGGGTTTCTAGTCCACATCCAGGCAACACAGCTACCCCAAGAACTTGAGGACCTGCACCGCCGCCTACAGGGGCATCCCTCCCCACCACAAACAGCCTGGATCTCCAGACACTCGTTTCCAAGGCTGTTTCTGCTACGACTTCACCGGCCAGCCTCCCCCTACACACACACACACACACACACACACACACACATACCTCAAAGGTAGATTTCTGACGTTTCCTTAGCCTGGACAGGCCTCGGGTGCAGAATCCAGGGAGACGAACGTTTCCCACCAGCATCCAGTTAGTGAGGTTGGAGACAGCAGCCCTCATGCTGATCTGCAGATGCCCTCCCCAACCTTAGCCTTTGTATAGCCTCCTCCATGTGTCCTGCTGCATAGCCAATATGTCAACAATCTCCTGCGCTTGATACCAACCCAGTCCCCAAATGCCACCTTTACCCGTGTCGCAGAGTACATGAAAGACTTCAAGTCCTTTTTGCTGGATACAGCATTTTTTTAAAGATTATTTATTTTTTATTGCAAAGTCAGATTTACAGAGAGGAGGAGGAGAGAGAGAGGAAGATCATCCATCCACTGGTTCACTCCCCAAGTGGCCACAAAAGCCAGAGCTGAACCAATCCAAAGCCAGGAGCCAGGAGCTTCTTCCGGGTCTTGTACATGAGTGCAGGTCCCAAGGCTTTGGGCCGTTCTCAACTGCTTTCCCAGGCCACAAGCAGGGAGCTGGATGGGAAGTTGAGCTGCAGGGATTAGAACCGGCACCCATATGGGATCCTGGCGTTCAAGGCGAGGACTTTAGCCTCTAGGCCACTGCGCTAGTCCCTGCATACAGCTCTTTGGAAAAAGCAGACAGACTCCCTAGGGCAGGGGACTGGACATAGCTCAGCTCGGACAGGGTGTCCTCCAGCAGAGGGGCTTTTAATACATCACTGATTGCGGGAGACTTGCCTGGGGCTGTGTGCTCCCTGAACCTTCCCAGCAGAGGGCAGTCCCAGGCCTGGCTGACTGCCTCCAGGCCCTGGCCCACACGGTGCAGAATGCTGGAGACCGGCAGAGCCTCAAAACAACCACTCAACAAAAGGACCTTTAGGGCTGAAGGGCAGTGCCTGCAGCTGAGGCCCGAGCCTCAGTCCGGGATTCTGCACACCCACCCTTGAGCCTGGGGCTCCAGGTTCGAATCTGGCCCCAGTGACCAACTGCTCAGCTGAGTCATCTAGCACAGATTGCTTCACCTCCCGAACCATCAGGACTCTGGGAAGGTTGCTTTTGTGGGTCCGCATGAGCTGGTACACAGGAAACACCCAAAGCTGCAAGTGACGGGGCGAGGTCTCCTCTGCTGGGGGAAGCACGGGTCTCCAAGGCTGAGGGACCGACCGTGTGCGCCAGAGGAAGGGGAGGCATTTAGTCACCGCTTAGCGCTCAGGTCAGGGGACAGCTCACTATGCCTGGGTGCCCAGAGTCCTGCTGTCTCTGTGTGGCAACCCCGCAGCCTTCTCAGAAGGAAACCTAGGGGACCAGGAGTGGCTGTGGTCACCAGGCTCAGAGGAAGACCACATGCCAAGAGCAAATCACGGGGGCGTCCCCAGGCACCTGTTGGCACAGCTAGCCTGGTCCCTAATCATGGCTTCATGGCTGTATGCATACAGCGCTCTTCTGCTAGGACCCCCTGAGGTGGCAGGGCCCACACGCCCTGGCAAGATGAGACACCGCCCCTCCCCCAGGAGCCTCTGTTCCCCAACTTCCCATCCCCTTCCTGGGGCCTTGTACCTGATGTCTGAGTCACACTCCGGCTCCTGTCGCTGGGAGCTGTGTTGTGACGCCCCAGCTGACAGTTTTACAATAAACACATTAAAAAGCTCCCGGGACTCCGGCTCCTAGATGTCAGTTCCAGACAGAGAGAAAAACCCCTCCAAGCCTTTCTTTGGCCAAAGCCCTCCTCCCCGGGGATCTGACCCACCACAACCGCCCCACCAGGAGAGGATTTCTTTCCCCCCAGTTCAGCCACCTAGGATCCGGTGGTGGGAAGCACAGGCTCCACCCCAAGCAGGGACCTGGGACTTCCAGAGGGTGAAGACGTAGGGAAAAGGGCACAGCCTGTCCTTGGCCCTGTCTCTGAGGACAGCTGGTCCTTGGAGAAGGACTGAGTGGGCTTGGAGTGGCTCCTGCACACCCCCCACCTCCCCCAACAGCCGTGAGGCCAAAGCTGTTATCCCCATGGCACAGATCAGGAAACTGAGGCTTGAAGAAGTTCAGGGACTCCAGCCCACAGGACCAGAATCCTGGGAGCTGGAGCGAGGTCCAAGTCCGCTGCCCAGAGAGTCAGCAGTCATCGCAGCAAGGCAGCCAGCGCCCAGCAAACCTGCCTTGTGGGGGGACAGGTCTTGCCAGGCCAGCCCACCTTGGCTGCCACCTGAGCCCACCCATAGGACACAGCAGCCACCCTCCAACAGATCAATGGCACGTCCCCGGGGAACCCAAGCGGAGGGCAGAGAGGAGAGACACAGGAACATTCTTTTATTACACATCAGAGATGGCCCTGTGTGCTGGTTCAAGGTGCAACAGACAGAATATCCAATTCAGAAAAAGAGGGAACCAGAAAGGGACGGGGAACCTCCTGAGGGCCAAAGTTGCAAACAAAAAAATGCTTGAAGATTTCCTCACGCAAGAGGCATTTTTTTTTTTTTTTGCAAATACCATGCAAAACAGGCAGCTGGTGTGCCTTAAGGGAATCCCTCTAAATAACAGAAAAGACACTCCCAGCATTCCTTTACGTGGACGCAGAGCACAGGGGGGAGAAACGAAACCAAAACGCTTCGAGGCATTTCCAGATATTTGGCACTCTTGTGATTACATTTTTACAGTCCATTAAAGAGAATAAACTGACACAATATTAGAGAGAAAAAATCAGGCTGCTCACACAACAGCCGGCTAGGAGGGTTCAGGAAAAAAGCTCAAGCATTTTTTTTTTCTCGTGGTTTTTTTTTTTTTTTTCCCCTTCTGACATATAAAATGTGTCCATTTGCATTAACCTGGGCAAAGGGCTTGCTACAACCAACACAAGCTTTACACTTGCTTTGGAAGCAGAACCAGGATCCTTCCTCCGGCTCATCCCTTACAAGTTATCTTCTTGCTTCACACATATTCCTAATAACCTCAAAAGATAATAACTCTCTCTAGAGACGAGTTTCTGATGTTCTGTGTACATCCGAGGATTTAAAAAAAAAAACAAAACAGCATTTCAGGTCCAAGTGCACAGAATCATTTTTGCAAGATTAAATAATGTAAACATCGGGAACAGCCAAATCAGCAAAGAATGCCAACACCTCAGAACACCCGCTTCAGGAAGTGGCTCCAAACCCGGGGAATTGCGCAATATTCACCAGATATAAAAAGAAATGGATATTCATATCGACAAATAGCTGCAACTGAGACTTCTTTTTAATTTCTTTATATGTGTGTATATAGTGATTTTTTTTTAACTTTTTTTTTTTTACTTTTTTTTTTTTTTTTTACTTTTTTATTTTTGCAGAGAAGCCGGGAGCCTCCTCTGCCGCCGCCGCAGCCTCCTCCTGCCTCATCTGTCTCCCCGCCTGACAGGAGATGCGGGTTGTTGATTTCATGGTGGAAGCAAGCTAGTCATAAATTTCAAAGTGCTTTCCTTCCTCATGCTTTTTGCCAGTAACTGTTCTCGTCGCTTACTCCTTCCTCGCTCTCCGGGTCTTCGGGGAGTTAGACAGCCGGAGGCGCCTTGTCGGTCATGTTTTTCAGCACGTCATCAATCCGATCATCTTCAATAACCACTGCAAAAGAGGGGAGAAAGAGGTCAGTGGCCTGGGCCCAGCCAAGGGGTCACCGGCGCTTCCCAGGGTGCCCAGTAGGTGGGGACGGGGAGGCAGAGGGAGGAGGGCTGGGAGCCAGAGGAGGGGGCCCAATCCTCCGCCACCTCCTCCACTGCCCCTACCAGGGGTCCCATGGCAGCCCCCTCCCCAGATGGATTCGAAGGAAAGGAAGCAGAGAGGGTACAAACCCAGCCGCCCAGTTCGCCGCCCACCCGGCGCATTCCCCGGCGGGCGCCCCTCTGCCGCGCACCTTCTGCAAGCCCCGGGACAGAGGACTTGGTCGCTAGGTCTCCCCGCGGCTGCAGTGGCCGCCAACCCGTGTTTCTGCCCAGCCTAGCCTTTCTCAGCGCCTGCTTCGAAGCCTTCGGAACGTGGATCACCTGTCGAGGCCCTGGGTCTCTCTGCCCTCGCACTGCCTGCCGCTGCTCAGTCCTGCGTCCCTGGCTCCGGTCCCTCCCGCGCCAGCTTTCCCCAGCTCTCCCTGGAGCTTCGCCCCGGCCTCCCGCGCACTTGTCTCCATCCCAGCGTCCCTATCACTCCCTGCAGCCGTCGGTAGATTTCCCAGTCCTCACGGCTCCGGAGCTTTCCTCGGAGCCTCTGAGCCTCCGACTCTCCAGGGCTTTTCCAGGTCTCCCGCCCAGCGTCCAGACTTGGAAACCCCCTCCCCCTGCCGAGGAAGGATGGAAAGCCCGGGAGAGCAGGATGTCCCTCGCCTTTCCCGCGGGGCCTTCCCTATGCCCCGTCCGCGCGCCGTGCAGTGACCTGGGGAGCCCGGGGACCCCTGGGACCCCCAACTCCGGAGTGGCCCGGCCAGCGCAGCAGCGCCTTCACTGCGCCAAAGCGGGGTGGGGGTGAGCAGAGGTGGACAGCAAAAAAAGCAAACTTTGGCACGGGTGGAGGCGGCGAAGTCAACCTCCAGCCGCCACGCCCCCGGGGTGACCCCAGCGGGGATCTGGTTGAGCGGGCCCGCAGTGTGGGATCCTCCAGGGTCTGCCTGGAGGAGGGGGCTGCCCGCGTCGAAAGCGGCGCGCACGGAGGAGAGACCTGCTTCTCTCCTAGGCCGGGCCTCAGTGCAGGCAGGGGGCGAGGGGGTTGAGAACTCACCACGCTTGCTCCGGCCGATCTGGCCCAGCTTGGGCGGCCGCTTGCTCTGCCCCGCGCCAAAGAAGTTGTTGGTGTCCTGCAGGCGGCACGAGAAGATCTGGCCCACGTCGCCGCCGTCGCCGTAGGGGCTCAGCTTCTCGTCGCCGTAGGGCAGCACCTCCGACATGGTCGCGTCCGGGGGCTCCGCAGCGGCGCCTCCTCCGCCTGCGTCCCCGCCCGCGGCGGACAGGGTCAGCGGCGCTGGGGCCGGTGGGCGGCCGGCCGGGGACGGCCCGCGGGGCTGCGGCGCTAGCGCCGGGCGGCAGATCGGGGAGGGGTGGGGACCCCGCTAGGGCGAGATCGCGGCGCCCGCGCCAGAGACCCGGCGAGCGCCCGCGGCTGCGCTGCGCTGCGCTCGGGCTCGGCGCGCGAGTGGCTGCTGCTCGGGCAGAGGCGAGCAGGACTCACATCCTCGACGCGCTCGGGCGCGGGGCGGGGGCCGGGCCGGGCGGGGCCGCGAGCCGGGGTGGGGGGGTGGGGAGGAGGGAGTCCCTGCGAGCCCGGAGGGCGCGGGGCCCAGGAGGGCGCGCCCCGGGGAGAGGCGGCCGCGGCGGCGGCGGCGGCGGCCGGGGAGGACTGAGGAGCTGCGCGCAGCGGGGCAGCGGAGGGGAGGGATGGGGGAGGGGGAGCAAGCCGGAGGAGGGGGAGGGCAGCCGAGAGCGAGGGAGGCAGGGGAGCGACGGAAAGGGGCGAGGGAGACCGGAGAGGGGCCGGGCTGGAGAGGAGAGACGAGATGGGGGGGGGGGGACACAGGGCCCGGAGCGGGAGGGCGAGGGGCGGATCGGAGAGGGAAGGCGGAGGGTGGAGGGGAGAGGAGGAGGAGGAGGAGGAGGAGGCAGGGGCCGGAGCTGGCAGCGAGTGCGAGCAGCGAGAGCGAAATGCCGGCCGCGGTGGCGAGCGAGGCGCGGGCAGGAGCGCGGAGGAGGCGAGCGCGGGCCTCAGGGAGAGTTCCCGGGAAGCCGAACGACGTCACGGGGCCGCGGGGCCGGCCCGGGCCGCCCCGGCTTCCTGCTCCCGCCCCCCGCGCCCGCCGAGGGGCCCCGGGCGCTCCGCCCCGGCCCGGCCCGGCCCTGCGGCCTCCGGGCGCCGCCCCCGCCTCCCCGCCCGCGCGCTGTTTACCCGGCCCGGAGCCGGTGCGCGCCGGCTCCGCGCCCGACGGGCCGTGACTGCCGTTCCCGAGGGTAGCTGGGGGCGCCCGGAAGGGGTCAGGTCGGAGGGTGCCCGACAGGCCCCGCGAGCACGCCCCTGTCCCCCCCACCACCTGACTCCCCCCACTCCAGGGCCCACCCGCTCAGACCTCACCCTCCTCCCCGCACCCGGCCAGCTGCGGTGCCCTCGGGGAGCCGCTGGGGGAGGCCAGGGCAGCCCCGCCTCCCGCCGGACGGGGAAGCGCCTGGTGACGCCGGGCTCGCCCGGGATGCCCCGCTCCCCGCGCCCGCAGCCTCCCCCCGGGGACGTCCCGGGCCTGCCGCCCTCTGCCCTCGGGGACCTCCCTTCCCGCCCCAGGCGGAAGCCCTTCGGAGAGGCTGCGGTCCCTGGGTCGAGGAGCCGACTCCCAGCTCCCGGCAGGGGGACGGGGCAGCCCCAGAGGCTCGGGAGGCGCATCTGCGGCGCAGATGGCAACTCCGAGGGGACAAGGTGCGTGAGGAGCGCTCGTTATCCTTGCCCCGAGCCAGCGGCACCTGCTCTCTCCCTGGAGACCGTCGTCGCTCGGCAGAGCCGGCTGATGGCAGAGACAAGCCAGCGGGCAAGGTCGGGCGACCTGCAGGGAGGCCGGGCCCGCCGGGTAACCCATGTGGTCCAGGTGACCTCTCTCACCTGGCTCAAACTGCCAGCTGGTGTGGAAAGAACCCTGCCAGGTTCTCCCCGACCCCACCCCGCCTCGGGCAGGTGAGGTGAGAGGAAAGGGCAGAGAGTTTTCGGTGGAGGAAGCACTTGAGAGGAGCCAGCACAAGCCCTCTCCAGAAATTGAACGTGGGGTTAGCAGGCAGCCAGAAGCCAGGCGCCTTGGCGAAGAGGGAGGGTCCTGGAGCCAGTGGGGCAGGTGGAGTATGCCTGCGCTTTGGGCGTGGGCCTGGGTTTGAATCCAATGTAGGACTTTGAGCGTGTCCCTTCTTTAAACAAATCACCAGTTTCAGCCATAGGATGGCATCTGTGTGCCGGTGGTCCCCCGTGTACCTTGCAGGACAGCAGAGAGAACAAAAACAAAACTACAATAAAAGGGAGGGGGTGTTCCTGGGAGTGGGTGTGCAATGAACGCTTCATAAATGATTTCAGAAGCTGGAACAAGCAGCCCCACCTCCGTTCCTTGCGATTTCAGAGCCAGAGGAAGTGCCTTGAGGTTACTTTGTCCAGCCCAAACCTGCCCATCTCTGGGCAGGGCCACAAAGCTCAGGAGAGCCAGGGGTGAGCCCACTCCCCCTGCTGGAGTGGCTGGCGCCGTGACCCCCGGGCCCTGGCCTTTGCCCGGCCCTGTTCATTAAGGCTTTGCTTGGAGCCCGAGTGCAGGGCAGGAAACACAGGCGTGAAATGACAGGAGGCCTCTGCATTTGTACCGTGCTTTCTCTTTTTTCCCCCAAAGCAATTTCACATCCACAATTGACCTTGCTTCTCAGAATAAATATTTTTTGAGATGTTGCACTCCCTGTTACAGAAAAAGACTTGCCCAAGGTCACTGGCTACTGGTACAGCCCGAGGAGCCCATTTTCCTGGCCGGCTGCAGTTCCACATCCCTGCAGAGCAAACCTCCAGGGCTGGGACCACTCCACCAGTCTGTGCAACAGGAATAAAGCAGTGTGTATGCTGAGTTTCCCATAAGCTACTGTGGAGAAGGTAAGCCGAGAGCCGGTGGGACTGACCAGGCCTGCGCGCCCCACAGCAGTGAGGAGAGAAACATGCTCTCCTTGCCTTCTCCAAATGAGGGCTTATTTATTTACTTGTTTGTTTTGGAAGGGCAGATTTAGAGAAAAGGGAGGAGAGAGTGCTGGTTCACTCCCCAAATGGCTTCAACTACGAAGCTGAGCCAGTCTGAGGCCAAGAGCGTCTTCTGGAACTCCCATGTGGTTTCAGGGTCCCAAGGCTTTGGGCCGTCCTCTGCTGCTTTCCCAGGCCACAGAGAGCTGATCTTGGAAGTGGAGCAGCTGGAATATGATTTTTTTTAAAGATTTATTTATTTTTATTGGGAAGTCAGATATACAGAGAGGAGGAGAGACAGAGAGGAAGATCTTCCGTCCCACAGTTCATTCCCTAAGTGACTGCAATGGCTGGAGTTGAGCCAATCTGAAGCCAGGAGCCACGAGCGCTTCCAGGTCTCCCACGCGGGTACAGGGTCCCAAGGCTTTGGGGCATTCTCAACTGCTTTCCCAGGCCATAAACAAGGAGCTGGATGGGAAGTAGAGCAGCTGGAATATAAACTAGTGCTCATAGGGGTTGCTGACACTGCAAGGGGGTGGATTAGCCAGTTGAGCCAGCTGGTCCCCCAATGAAGTTAAAGATGGCACCTACCTTCCAACCCAGGACTCACCCCCTAAATAGACCACCCTGCCCCTACCCCTCAACAGAACATCTCAGTCTGACTCCTCTCTGCTGAGGTGGGCGGTGCTGGGGATGGAGGTGGTCAGCCCATTTTTCAGATGAGGCACCTGAAGCTGTAGCCAAGGACACACCTCAGTTCCACCACGGGACAGTGCGAGTCAGCCCCACCCAGAGTGCAGGGTGTAGGGCAGCTGCCAGGGGCTGCAGGTTCAGGTGCCTGCCCTGTCCCTTCCCTCTCTGGGCCTCAGCCATATGAGTGACAGCTGCTTGGCATCACAGAGTAGGCTGATCAAGGCTTTGTTTTTGCCTTGCAAAACCAGTTCCCCCAAATCAGAAGGAGCTGAAACTGGGTGGAAGCGCTGGTAGGGCCCCAGAGCCTTGCCTCCCACTGTCCCCCCCACACTACCTCCACCACACACAGGCGTCATCTGGAACCCTGCACAGGCTGCCACAGCACCCACATGCTAGGAGGCAGACGTGTGTGATGCCAATGAATTAGGAAGAGAGAAGGGCAGCCCGGCTGGGCCCAGCATAAGAGATCCCGGTCTCTGTGCTTGGTCAGGCCACAGATGGGGAAACCGAGGCCCGGGCAGTAGCAGCAGACAGTGGCAGCCAAGACTTTGAGAGCAACGGTGCTGCCGGGCATCCCAGGTGCAGAGCATCAGTAGGTAGGCCATGCCCAGGTTCCCATAGAGGTGGTGCTTCAGGAATGCTGAGCCTGGCCAGGCCAGGACATGGTGTCCTGTCAGTGACTAAGCAGCCTCCCATTTGGGAATCTTTACTCTGAGCCAAGGCTGGGGAGAATAAAACATTACCATCACTCTCCCCAACGCAGGGACTTGGATGTAACGGCTACCCACCATCCCTCTACCCATCCCCTCCTGACAACATGCGCGCGCACACACACACACACTCATGCACATAAGCCTTGAAAGCTTGTTTGAATTTGATTTTCTGTAGATAGAGGCAGAAACAGACATATCTTCTATCCACTAGTTTTCTCCCCTGTGACAGATGAGGCTGAGCCAGCAGACTGGGTCTAGGTCTTGCACATGTTTGGTGGGGACCCAGCTGTCTGGAGCCACTGCTGAGCACCCATTCAAGTCCTGGCTGCTCCACTTGCTACCCAGTTGCCTGCTGATGTGCCTGGGAAAGCAGCAGAGGTTGGCCTGAGTGAGTCCCTGACTCCCACACAGGAAACCCAGCTGGAGCTCCAGGTGCCTGACTACCCACTCAGAGAGTTAGCAAAGCAAGGACCCAGCCTCTTCTAGTCTCTGGGAGCCCCCCAGTTGGAACCCAGGTGTCATGCGTTCCCCCCCCCCACCTCCCTCCCCACTGCCCGCGCTCTGGGCTCAGGAGCTGGTGCAGTCACTTACAGAAGGATTCAGGGAGGAGCCTGCTGCTCGCTCCTGGCTCGCCCTGCGCCTGCCTGTGCGTGTGACCCAGCTCTGGGAGTAACAGACCCTCTCAGCTATGGGGGTGCAAGGCAGGCAAAGCGGCTCAGTAGGGCCGCAGACTGAGTCAGCAAAGCCAGAGCTGTGCACAGCCTCCATGAGACCAGTCCCAGCACCCTGACACCAGCCCCTGGGGCCAACAGGGGCTGGCCCCGGCTCTGCCTCCAGAAGCTACAGATGAGAGTAGGGGGCCAAAGCACAGCCACCTCGTGGTCACAGGCGCCCTCTCTCCCCAACCTGCCGTGCCAGGCTCTTGGGCAGAACAGGGCTGGGGGCCAAGGGCCATCCATGGTAGAGGCAGGTGAGAGGGCCGAGTGCCAAGACAGCGTCACAGAACGGGGCAGCTGTGTGAATCCCACATCACACTGCATGGATGTAGAGCCAACTCTGTTCCTAGCCCTAGCTTCCTGCTGAGGCACACCGTGCGGGTCAGCAGGGATGGCTGGGAAATCACAGAGGGACAAATGTGGGCTATTACCACCATTAGAATTCCTTGGATTTACATCTGCGGCAAGCTCCCTGCTAAGTCGAGAACCAGAGAATTCCAG